CCGCCGTTTTTTCATTTTCGGCGGACAGTCTTCCTATAAACTTTGAACTTCCCAGTCTGTGACTCTCTGAGAAAATTTTGTCGCAGCTTTAAATGCTATCCTATTTCATTCCAATATTGCTTTGTTTTTAATTTCCTCAGCCCCTTTTGGGTTTTGTTTTTCAAGCCCTTCATGCTTTCACGGACATCATCGAGTAGATTTGTCAATTTTTTCTCAGCAGTCACGGCACTAATATATTTATGTGGTAATACAACGACTCGTAATATGCACAAAGGATCGTTAAGATCAAATTTATAGGCAGTTGTGCCGCGGAGCAATGCACTTTCACAATGCCTTCATGTTTCGTCTCATCGATCAGCTACACATATGAACATTCCCCGTACTGTTCTGCTTTTTCCTCACAGGGGTCTAGATGATGTGTTTTCATTAAATTAAAGCCGCCTTGGTTTCTAAAATTGGTGATTTGTGGGGTTAAATACTGATGAGAGTAGTGAATAACACGAAATGAAGAAAAAATGCATCAAAGACTCGCCCGAAATGGCCCACTAAACAGAACCCTATGCCGAGTCATACTCGCACTTATGCCGAGTCATGCTCGCACTTGCATAAGGCGAAGAAAGGGTGTGATCGGACGAGTTCTCCTTTGCTGGTGTCAGCTCTTTCTCCTTATCACCTCACTCTCACCAAGGGTTAGTAGGCCGGAACAACCACACCATTCAGATGGCTGTTAAGTGGCGTTGCTGTGGCCAATGGGTGGATCCGTGATTCCGTGGCGAGCGGGCGGCATCACATTTTTTTAGCTGCCAAAGCAGTTTTTCCTTCATGCTTGCAGGCAGGACTGATGCTCAGAAAAGGCGCCTGAATATCGAGTGAGAGTAGGGCGTCCATTTAATTACTGTAAAGTCAACAAAGTATTTAACAAGGAGAAAGTCGCTAGTTCGAACAGGAGCCAGGAGTGCGCGATGAAAAGTTCACATTGTTGATCAACGTCGCGCGGGCGTCCGCGCAGAGATTTAAAAATCCAACAGTTCCTTGTTCGCTGCATGATGGAGGACTTGTCAGCACGGTATGTGCGCGCTAAACCCTTTTGCTGAAGTGGGTGAGCGACATTGGTGGAAGACGACTGATACGAACGGTATCATACAGCCTATACGCATATTTAACTGCACTTTAACTGCCGAGCTCCAGCTCACTGAAATGCCTCAGATGCTAACGTACACAAAGTGGCTCGTCTGAGGAAGAGGTGAAACGAACCACCCACACTTGGTTCTCACTTACCTTTTCGTTTTCTTGCTTTCTCTTTCTTTCCTTCACTATTTCCAATTAACTCTTTATACTATTGACAGTTTATTTTCCTTATATTGTCACTTTCAAACACCGGGTTTGACGTCGCTCCAACAACCGGGTTTGACGCCTTGCCAAACCCCTCCACTTTGACACACCCCTTCATCCACAGCGAGCAAGACTAAGTGATTCATCACAAGAATGCTGAGTTATGGGCAAAAGTCGGACCACGGGCGGGATTCGAACCCGCATCTTCCGCTTTCCGTGCGAATGCGTTCCCTATTACGCTACCGAGGCCACCTTTGACCACTCAGCTCAATGGCTATTTGTGCCATAACCTTACAGCACTCACACGTTCAACGTGATGAGCCGGTTAGCCGATATCGGCAGTGAACCGCAGGCTGAAGGTTTTTTAACAAGTTTCAGCTGATATTGTAATTTGTTAAACTGCTGTGTTAACGCCGCAGTACGCGATTCGAAAGCTATCACAAGAATGCTGAGTTATGGGCAAAAGTCGGACCACGGGCGGGATTCGAACCCGCATCTTCCGCTTTCCGTGCGAATGCGTTCCCTATTACGCTACCGAGGCCACCTTTGACCACTCAGCTCAATGGCTATTTGTGCCATAACCTTACAGCACTCACACGTTCAACGTGATGAGCCGGTTAGCCGATATCGGCAGTGAACCGCAAGGCTGAAGGCTTTTTACAAGTTTCAAGCTGATATTGTTTTTGTTAACTGCTGTTTAACTTGTCTAAATAACATCACCAAAAGCCACACCCAAGCATAACGCCGCAGTACGCGATTCGAAAGCTATCACAAGAATGCTGAGTTATGGGCAAAAGTCGGACCACGGGCGGGATTCGAACCCGCATCTTCCGCTTTCCGTGCGAATGCGTTCCCTATTACGCTACCGAGGCCCCATTTGACCACTCAGCTCAATGGCTATTTGTGCCATAACCTTACAGCACTCACACGTTCAACGTGATGAGCCGGTTAGCCGATATCGGCAGTGAACCGCAAGGCTGAAGGCTTTTTACAAGTTTCAAGCTGATATTGTTTGTTAACTGCTGTTTAACGCCGCAGTACGCGATTCGAAAGCTATCACAAGAATGCTGAGTTATGGGCTATGTTCACGTTGACGTGTGAGTGCTTTAGGTTTTATGGCACAAATAGCCATTGAGCTGAGTGGTCAAAGGTGGCCTCGGTAGCGTAATAGGGAACGCATTCGCACGGAAAGCGGAAGATGCGGGTTCGAATCCCGCCCGTGGTCCGACTTTTGCCCATAACTCAGCATTCTTGTGATAGCTTTCGAATCGCGTACTGCGGCGTTAAACAGCAGTTAACAAATATCAGCTTGAAACTTGTAAAAAGCCTTCAGCCTTGCGGTTCACTGCCGATATCGGCTAACCGGCTCATCACGTTGAACGTGTGAGTGCTGTAAGGTTATGGCACAAATAGCCATTGAGCTGAGTGGTCAAAGGTGGCCTCGGTAGCGTAATAGGGAACGCATTCGCACGGAAAGCGGAAGATGCGGGTTCGAATCCCGCCCGTGGTCCGACTTTTGCCCATAACTCAGCATTCTTGTGATAGCTTTCGAATCGCGTACTGCGGCGTTAAACAGCAGTTAACAAACAATATCAGCTTGAAACTTGTAAAAAGCCTTCAGCCTTGCGGTTCACTGCCGATATCGGCTAACCGGCTCATCACGTTGAACGTGTGAGTGCTGTAAGGTTATGGCACAAATAGCCATTGAGCTGAGTGGTCAAAAGTGGCCTCGGTAGCGTAATAGGGAACGCATTCGCACGGAAAGCGGAAGATGCGGGGTTCGAAAATCCCGTGCCGTGGTTCCGACTTGCCCATAACTCAGCATTTCTTTTGTGGATAGCTTTCGAAATCGCGTTATTCTGCGGCCAATAAAACAGCAGTTAAACAAACAATGCATCAGCATTTAACGATGATCATCACGTTTCTTCATTCCCTTTTGGGGCGGACCCAATCTATCTATTACGCACTCTTGTCTGCAGTTATCTGATGCCGCACCCATGCAACGGTAAGGTGCTCCTAACAGCTGTTCCGTCAACTTACCACTGCCTTGAGAAGTTGGTGAATTGTTTCTATGAGTTTTGCTATTATGCTCATGTCTGAACTTTACTGACTGTTTTCGGCACTCCGGTTCCGTTTTCGGACTTTTATTCTTAAATTGTTTCAAAGAATATCGAACAACGGGATTTGTTCTTTCGGTCTTCAGACTGTTGCTTGAATCTTTTCATGTGGAACGAAAGTTCTACTGATCACGACCTATCTCTGCTTCATTTATTGGATTTTCCTTTGAGCTAGGTGATTCTCGACGCTTTTTGCTTCTGTGAGAACCATCTTATTTTTTTTCCAAAAAACAAAACAAAACCACCCATTGGCATTTGGGATCTTAGTTTTTCAGTTTAGCGCAATTGCTGCCTTTTTGCCTGCTCTGATGTTTATGATTGAGTTTGTCGGCTCTAATTCCTAGTTGTTGCATGTAACAGGAAAGTTGCCTGCAATCCTTTTTTCAGGAGGAACAACGATGCGACGAGGGAAGGCAGACGAAAAGAAAGCGGAGCAGGAGCGGCTTCAAAATATCCTTTTGGACATGCTCAAGGAAGACGAGAACAAATACTGCGCCGATTGTCAAGCAAAGACTCCCAGGTTCGTTCTCCAACAATGATCGTGTCGAAAAGGTCAGTAAGTTTTTGTTGGACGATTCTTTGTTTAGATGGGCAGCATGGAACTTGGGAGTGTTCATTTGTATTCGTTGTGCTGGAATTCATCGAAATCTCTGGTGTACACATCTCTAAGGTATCGTTCGCTTTCTTCTGTTTTCATAGATAATTCTAGTCTACTTGAAGAAAAGTAAATAGTTATTTTGCGTGCCGCGAACGCCATCTTGGGCATGATACCTCCCGTCCGGCAATTCCTTTTCAAGGGAAGATTGGGTGTCACTTTCGTCGGCCTACGAAATACCGTTATAAGACGCCATCATTCCCTTGAGAGGCAATGCCCCACCACTGATCCCAGCACCAACGCTCATTTTCAGAGACTTCTTAAAGGCGTAGTCCATTGCCCTTCCCCGCGGGGATGTGGGGGCACTTTACAAGGCTTTTTCTCCGTTTTTCTAGACTATTGAGCTAAGAAATAATTGGTAATTTATAGTTAGTTTAATAACTAGAAATTAATTTGTAAGTGGGGTAATTTGTCTCAGTCTTGGGTAATATACTCGATTTTACTAAGTGCAAACACGACAGTAGCTACATATTTAAATTCGCTATCCGAATATTATTTATTTTCTGTAATCTTCAAGGGTGCGCGTCTGCTGAACATTGGATACTGGTGGACGCCCTGAAAACAAGTGCAAGTCTATATGCGAGTTAATGGGTAGATAGAAACAAGCTCGAAAGGCATAAATAGTGTAAATATTCGATCAGCACTTCTTGGAAGTTGTCGTGGTTGACATCATGTTTCTAGGTATATGAACACTCTTTGCCTGACCATTTCCGTCGTTCTATGGCCGACCATCAAATGGAACAATTTATTCGTGCAAAATATGAACAGAAAAGGTCTCGTTTTGTTTACTGCTTGGTTTCGAAATGACTGTATGTTCCACAACGTTGTGTAATCAAGCTAAACGTTAAGGTATATGCTGAATGGTTTTGTTTATCCTCGAATAGATGTGAATGATTTACCGAAACCGGGTCAACCAAGCACTAAAAAGAAAGCTTCAAATGCTGCACTTACATCGGTATGCAAGCTTCTCGCTTTTTCATCTTGAGAAATTTTTCGCTTCAGAAAGATTATTTTTCAATATGAATTGCCTTCGGAAGAAAAATTGGTCCTGTTTGTATATTTGTCCTGGGCTATATTTCTCCGAAAAACCGTTAGGCCAACTTGACAGGTTGACATGAGTGGTCACTTGCCCCCAAAAGCAGGTGGTACGAAAAAGCCCCAAAGATGTACAAATAATACGCCTGCAGAGCGAAATTCGGACCTCCGAGTAAGCGGGGAGTGGCGCCTTTTTTCAAGGAGAAGGTGCCCTCTAAACCGACGGGGTGCCACTGGCCTCTGTTCGCCCTCCCACCGGTGGACCCTTCGATTGCCTTGCCTGAATTTCAGCATCAGTCGGGCGCAAAAGTCCCCGAAATTTTTTAAAAAAATAATGCTGAAATTCGTTCGTCGTATCGTCTGCGGTGTTGCATAGATATATGAGCAGTACCATAGCATTTATTGGCACGACGCCAGCAAGGAACTCGTCCGAAATTGCTTTCTGAGTTGTGTAGAATAAAGGTTTTTGCAGTTTTAAACAGTTTCACTTCGCTTTTTCGCCATTTCCCCCCACCATATCGCCACCCCTGCCCTACAGATTTTTGGACGAGCACCAAATCTATCATGTTTGTGTCTTTGACTCCAATGGGACCCATTATGTATTGCAATCTGTTACGCTTCTTTATATTTACGCTATATCCCATCTGACTACTTGGACGATTCACTCGCATGACTATGGACGACCGCGCTTCTCAACTAGCTGTATTATCACTGCAAGGGACCGAAGAGAATTCTCTTCTGAAGCCTTTAACGGTGGAACACAGATCGGCCATTTTGCCGAAGCTGATTGACTAGAATCACGGGTCGAAACTCGTGAAGTGACCTGAAGGTTACTCCTGTGCACAGAGTGCAAGTAAAAGGTGGCATCATTTCGTCGCATATTGCAATTTGGACTAAGGACACGGATCATGCTATTTCTTTATAAGGACGGATACATACTTTCATCGTATTTTTTGTTTGCGCGGTAGCGACATTAGCACGACCTACCACTGCACCACTCCGAAGCTTGAAAATCCTGGCTCTCACTCACACAGTTCAAGCTTCCGACGTGCGGCGCGGTAAATTGGCACCAGACGATCGTCTTGGGAGCATTACAATACCCCACTTGTACAGTCGCCTGGTAACCCGCCAACGAAATATATTGTATTTAGGCCACCTCGCATTCATAAGCTCAAAATTCTTGATTGGAAGGTAGAGTGCGTGCTGCGCCCTAAGGGACTTGCATCAATGATTAATCAGGCGAATACTTTATTTTTGTCGTTGGTCGGTCGATGACCGGCCACCTCGCAATCACTTTGGAGAGTTCAAAACGAGGAAGAGTTGGCATTGACTATTCCGCAGTCGAGAAGAGCGACATGTTACATCTAATGACTTACAGTTATCGAGATATCGCCACAATTAGTCGAGGCGGCGGTGTTCAAAGATGGAATACTCCACCCGATGTTTTCAACATTGGTTGCTTCTTTGCTAAATCGTTCTCCAACCCATCAGTATTGGTGAGAAAGGGCAGGTAGGGGCGGGCTCGTACCCTCTCCCCCTTCTCCGAGCAAGCCCATAATTACCTGCAGTATCGGTCCTTGTAAGTATTTTTTATTATATGTTCAAGGGTACTCTACAGTTCGGGATAACGGGAACCAAACTATATTTTGAATCCAGCTTCATACAAGGATCCCGCTAAATAGAGTTTTAAAACTGGTCATTGAGGCAGTTCGGTGACGGAAGGGTGGGGGGGGGGTCATTTTGCACTTCTGCTACTTCCTATCGACGTGTCAGCCATTTAGAGAGCTATTTCATGAGCTTACAAGAGTTGACAGGTTTTATCATGGTGGCTCGACGAGCTTGCTCCAGCTTCACAAGAGTTCACAGGTTTCACCAGAGTGAGACTTGTAAACCGGAACTAGTGAAGCAGCAAAGTGCAAAATGCCCCTCCCCCCCCGTCGCCGAACTGCGCCATTGAAAAAGAAGGGCTAAAATTCACTCGTGTGTCATGATTCTCTTGTTTACATTATGATTTTGATGGCAGTTTACTGGAATGAAATCCGCACTGTTTTCAGCCGAATGCTGTACGGGTATCTGCTGGCTCTCCTGAACCGAATCATCCGAGTTCAGCTGTTGTTAACGATCTTTTGGATTTTTCTTCTACTGCTAGCTCTAATACTCAGGTCAATGGAAATAATTCGTTAGTTGGAGATTTCGGCTCTTTGTCGCTGGCACCTCAACAGGTACGTGCGCTCTTCAGTTTGTTAATCTGCTGTTTTTCTTTGCCTCATGGTGCGCATAATTTCAACAGGTTTATGCAGAAGGCAAAGTTCTAATGCTTATTTCGCGACTACCTGTGAGGCCGAATCGTTACCATGCACAAGGCGGGCAGGTTTTCAACCTCAGGACAGGATATGGCGTAGTAAGGACTCCAGGGGCTTATGCTATGCTCAAAGCATCCTCTTCCCACAGAACGTCGTCATAAGGGGTAACATCATCTTATGTTAGCAGAGTTAATGAATAATGCTGGGATAGACCGAGACGGCGGCGACATGGATGTGCCGGAAAGGAGCCAACTACCTCGGAGAACCTGTAGGTGAACTCAAACAAAGTCATGAGGGGCCTTATTTGGAGCGTTCCGATTATTGCTTCATATCACTGAAGAATCACTTGGCAGGTGCAACTGCTTTTTTGCTGTAGGAGCTATAATACAGCGACTCTTCCATTCAATGATCTAACAAAGTCGAACGAGGGAAACAGTCTACATGTTAGGCAGCCGCGATACAGGGCATCGACGCGCGTCATCGCGAAGTCTGAACGTTGCCCCAGGCGTATTTGAGTTTCAAAATAGTTCCCTCCAATTTTTGCGCCGGAAACTCGCTAGGAATTTCCATTTTTCTGAAATTCCTAATTCAGAACGGGCTGTATTTTTCGGTGCTGACCTCAGAGAACCTGTAGGTAAACCCAAACAAATTAAGAAGGGGCTTATTTGGAGCGCCCTCGGTCAATGCTTCATATCACTGAAGGATCACTTGGCAGGTGCAACTGCTTTTTTGCTGTAGGAGCTATAATACAGCGACTCTTCCATTCAATGATCTAACAAAGTCGAACGAGGGAAACAGCCTACGTTTTAGGCAGCCGCGTTACAGCGCATCGACGCGCGTCATCGCGAAGTCTGAACGTTGCCACGGGTGATTTTTTGATGTCAAAATAGTTCCTCCAACTTTTGAGCTTTTTGAAACCTCTAATTTAAAACTGCGCTGTATTTTTGGGTGAAAAAAAAGTTTTTTTTCAACTCTTTTCTCTTGCAGAGCTTGAATGATTGGTTCAGGAAGCACCTTCAAATCAGAACGCGGAAGTCGATGATATGTTTGGATCCTTCGCTGCTGCACCGGCCATCGACCCAGTAATTCCTACCGCGCCGCCTCAGCAAGCGTCACCTGTTGATAAGGCGGCGCAGCCTGCTACATCTTCTCAAGGATCTGCTGATCTAATGTCATTGTCTGGCGGAGGAGCGGCCGGTGGTGACAAGAAGTCCACTGCGGATATTCTCTCTCTTTTTGGAGACCAGTCAAAAGTAAGTATTTCTGATGAGGTTGGGTACGCTTGTCCTCACTGGCGGTAACTTACTTTTGAAACTTATGAGGTTCTTACAGGGTCCGACACATCCGATCGTTCCTGTTGGTGGCTTTGCTGCATTTGGCTTACAGGCGGCACCTCAACAATCAATACCGGCTGTGCCCAACATGGCTGCGGCACCCAAGGTTGCTGAGAACAAAGGCTACCCTGTAGCCCCAGCAATGATGGGCATGGGATTTGTTAGCCCAATGGTTCAAATGCCGAACCCAATGCCTCAAATGCCGAACCCAATGCCTCAAATGCCGAATGCAATGCCTCAAATGCCATACGGAATGAGTCAACAAGGATTTCCAAACCCTTTCGAACAACCATCTGGAGGAGCAGCTCTGCAGGGCATGCAGTTTGCTCCAACAGTTGCAGCTTCAAGCTTGAGTGCACATCCGCAGTCACCAACCGCCTGTTCAACTCGTGCCAATAACGCGTTTGCTGATTTATCCATTGGGAAGGTTAGTGAGAACGTTCTACTTCTTTTACTTTATTTTGATTGCGTTCATATTTCGAAAAAGTGGCGAAAGAGCGAGATTCAGGAGGTTACGCGAGCGTTAGTAGGTGGAGCCGATAGACTTCCATCCACTCTTGTCCGGGGTTCTATTCAGGCGCAGTTTGGCTTGGGGATGTCACCAAATGATACTTAGTGAAGCTTCTTCAGGTCAACTTTTAAGACCTGTAAATTCTTGTGACCAAGGTGGGTCTATTGTACAGATCGGCTCACATGAGTTTACTGGTCTCACCAAAACGAAACCTATTAACATGAATTAGCAAAACGAAGCGAATGTGCCTTTCCCCAAGCCCAACAGCGCCTTCTCCTCATTGGCAAAGCCTGAATACGAAGCTTTCTGAAGTAGAACGTAAGCAGACGTAGGGGGTCGTTTCGTCCAGCCAGGAGTGATGCTCTCTTCCAGGCTCAGCCTTACAGAGCGCAGACTACCTGAGTAACCTGTGCCAGAAGCGATGCCGAAAATCAACGTCATATTGACTTACCCGTAGATCAGATACAAAGGTGATACTATCAGACCAGTGCCTATTCGCGTCAAATGGCTCGTTCAGAACGATCAGGACTGCCATATTCGTGGTCTAGCCCTTGATCACCCATATATGCAAATATCTACTACAATTTTTTTTGAAAAAAAGTGACGTCAAATTAGCACCAGTACGTTCTGGCGCATCAGTTCGTCTTCGACCCTCGTCGTCTCGAAGTCTATTCTCGTCGTTCTCGAAGTCTGTTCTATCTGTGCCCGTCTTCGTCTCATCTTTTGCGGAACAAAAACGCGTAGGTGGTTCGACAAATTCCGAAATGGAGACTTCAACCTGGAAGATCAGGAGGGACGCGGTCGGCCATCGGAAGTTAAAGACGACGAATTGAAGGCACAGATAGAAGCCAACCCAAGAGCATCCACAAGGGAAATTGCTGAAGAGCTGGGAGTTGACTTCGGAACTGTAGCACGTCATTTGAAGAAAATTGGGAAAAAAACTTGACAAGTGGATCCCGCATGAGTTGACTGAGCACCAGCAATCTCGTCGTCTCGAAGTCTGTTCTATCTGTGCCCATCTTCGTCTCATCTTTTGCGGAACAAAAACGATCCTTTTCTGCAACGCATTGTGACGTGTGACGAAAAATGGATTCAATACGACAATAGACGACGGTCAGGACAGTGGTTGGATCACGACGAAGCTCCTAAACATTTTCCAAAGCCGGAGTTGCACCAAAAAAGGTCATGGTGACTGTTTGGTGGTCTACAGCCGGTTTGATCCACCACAGCTTCCTGGCTCCAGGAGAAACCATCACAGCGGAGAAGTACTGTGAGGAAATCGAAAAATGCACCAAAAATTGCATCGGATTCAGCCGGCATTAATCAACAGAAAGGGCGCGATCCTACTCCATGACAACGCCCGACCGCATTTTCACTGATGACACTTTTTCAAGCATCTCGAAATTTTCTTACGCGAGAAATGCTTCCGAAACCAAGACGACGTAGAAAAGGCATTCAACGATTTCGTCGATTCCAGAACTCCAGAATTTTATGCTGCCGGAATATCTAAACTGCCTTCTCGTTGGCAGAAATGTGTTGATTCTTTTGGTCGTTATTTCGATTGAAAAGCAACACTTTGAAGCGAGTTATTTTAAAATATTTGCTTCAAAACGGTCATTATTTTTGCCACGACCTAATATATTCAGTAGGCATCGAAGATTCCCTACCGGGAGGTTTAGAAAAAAAACTTTTTTTGGATAGGAATTGCAGTTGGATATTGCCAGGCTTTCTTGTTGGTAGTACTGTCCTCATCATTACGGACTGTCGGGGCGTGTCAGCCAGTAGGAGTGCGCACACTGTTGAAGCCGTTCTCAGCCTTTTTGTTGAAACGCGTATGCGACAAAAAGTGGTAGAAAACGAGTAATACGAAGGATATAATACAGTAATGTCACTTGCCCGCTTCAACAACTGGTGCAGAACGACTTCGGTACCGCGCCAAACGCAGCCGCACTGACACGCCCCGACAGTCCGTAATGATGAGGATTGTATTATAGTAGAACTGTATGGATGATGCGATTTTGTGGTTTCGTTTCAGGTTCTAAATATGAACTACTTGAGTAAACCAGTAGTTCCTGCTACAACTGCTCAACCGCAAGCAACGACTACCCCTGCTAATATGAATTTCGATGATTTGCTTGGATTGTGAATCAAGCAATTA